CCTCGATTGACATGCTCAACCAATCAGATAACAGCTGTCTGAGGCAGCGCAAGCTAGCAGGGGAGGTGACCATAGCAAATCTTAACAAGCTGTTCTCAGCGTAAGGTTCTGCTAAATATCCTATGAAGGCAGCTTAACTGAGCTAAACACCTACGTTTAGCTTTAACTTTAGTCCCTAGTCAACCCTGTCAGAAATGTAATCATGCATTCAGAGGAACACTATCTCATCCAAAGGCCTGACCTTAAACATTCCCACTCACTTTGCTAACACGAAATGATACTGAATGTGAAGTTGAACCGACTGTTTTAAGGCAATGTGTGCTAGCTTAGCCCATATATTATTCAGCACATCTCATTTTAATTAACTTAACCTTGACAGATGCCTCTTTGTCTCAAACAAGGGGCAGAGACAGAATGTTCTGAGAACTACAGATTCATGGATCTAAAAAATAAGAACAGTAGCTGGTAGTATTGTGCTCAGACAGACTCTGAGGTGTCAGCTCTGATTTAGAGGACAGTCTGAAATAAAAGTCTCTGCTCTCTATGTTAAAGCGCTTGATTTGATGTGACATGGTTTCCCTCTGGACGCAGCATTAACTACGAAGTTTTCTTTAGTCCTCAGATGACTCCTTTGAAAGAACGCTCTGAGATCTGATTTTGTTTTTAAACTGCCGTGATCCTCCTAAGGCAAGTCTCTTATGTTCAAGTTTAGAAATCCAAATGATCTCTCCCTTATTTGTTTTCCTTCTAATGCCCTCTACTCCCTCCTCTTTCTTTTCCCTTCCCTATTCTTCCTACTTAAATCAGCACTAAAATACAATGGCTGCAAAATATGGAATGTTTTTTGTTGCATGCATGAATGTATAACACGTTATTTATCCTAAAAGCTTGGTAAAATGGAAGGTTAAGAGGAAGAATGGGATCACAGCCACATCAGCAAATTCCTCCGACTCTCAAATCAATAACCAAATGCTGGTGTTTGCAAAAGTTGCCTTTGGTTCTTGTTTGCTATTTGATGACTAATTTATAAAAGTCACAACACATCCATCGGACAATGCTGGCTTTATGCTTTTAGATTGGTTACAGTTTAGCCCTTTTTCCACTGAAATTAGTTGCTTTCTAGTTTTGTGCGGGTGCTAGCTTTGTAGCATTTTGGGAACCACTTAGAACCTTTCTTAACTGACTAGTAGTAGCCCCGTCATGACGTCAGTGTTTACGTAGCTGCTTTTCTCAGCAATGCCAGCGTGAGTATCACAATAAAACAGGTGAGTGGTGGAGTGATAATGTATTTCCAGTGGCAGCGCCAGGGTATGGCTGGGGTAGGCTATAGCCATACCAAGAAATGGCTTAGCCCTACCTTAGCCCGACCATGAAAAATTATGTTAAAGTAAGCATGTTGAGAACACGGATTGCGAAAATCTACCGGTCGTGTCCACAACACACAAAATGATCCTGCTGTAACAACAAGTGCACGTTACTGACGCAATATGGTTGAGACCATTCGGGCTTATGCTAGAGGGGTGTAAGGAATAGTCTAAGTAGTGGGGGAGTTTTATACACTAAAGGTGTGGAAATTCTCTCGCGTTATAATATCAGCGCGGCCGCGCGGTCAGATCAAAATGCCTCCGAATGAAATTTGAATAGACCTACAGCCAATCAGAGCAACGAAACGTTGGGTCTGCTGCATCATGCATTACTGATATGTCACATTCACAGTGAAAAGTCCCCAAACTCGCGCCGAGTAAATTGCAGACAGACAGCAGAACTTCTAGGATTAATTGTATATTTTGGATGGATAGATTTGTTCTTAAACATCCTCGCATTGAGGTACAACAAGTCGAACAAGTGCCAGAGTCACACAACCCACCTGAAGAGGATGCTAGCCAGCGGGGACCCGACGGGATTGGAGAGGCCAGAGGTGGCGAAGATGAGGAAAATGTGGAGCAGAAAGCCGCTAACGTTAGCGACATCAGCCAAGGAACTGAGGCTGCTAGCGACATTAGCCAAGGACCCAGAGATGGACCAAAATGTCCAATTCGAAAACATTATCCGTCAAGACAGATTGGAAGCCAGCAACGGTCTTTTAATGGGGCCTGGTTTGACACATACAGCTGGGTCGAATATTCAGTTGAAGCTGACTCAGTGTTTTGCTTTGCCTGTCGTAATTTTTTGGGTGCTGGGAAGCGATTCCATTCCGAGCCTGCCTTTACCAATGGATTTAAAAACTGGAAAAATGCAACAGGAGCTTTCAAAAAACACAACGGGAGTGCAGCACACAGGTTTGCCATGGAGGCATGGGCTTAATTTTAACAGACAACGAAAGATGGCTCAAGACTGGGAAACATGATTGATGCAGGTCATTTAAAACTTGTGAAAGAAAACCGTGAGTACATGAAGGCCGTGGTGATGTCCTTACGTTATACTGCATGTCAAGGCATTGCACAGCGAGGTCACCGGGAGCAGGAGGGTGAGGAGAACTCGGTTAATAGGGGAAACTTCCGAGAGCTGCTACACTTAATTGGTGAATTTGACGTGACTGTAGCAATGAAACTGAACAACAATCCTCAAAATGCTAAATACACACATCAAGACATCCAAAAGCAAAATCCAAAAGAGGGCCTGGACGCCGACTCGCTCCTCAGTACCATCAAACAGACGCTCAGCCAATGCAACATCGACCAACACATGTGTGTTGGACAGTGTTACGATGGGGCTGCTGTCATGTCGGGATGCAAGAACGGAGTACAGCAGAAGTTTAAAAAGGAGGTGCCAAATGCTTTGTATATATGTTGATGTGGTCCTCAACGTTGAAGCAGCAGCCTACTTTTTTGAAACTGTACAAATGCTGTACAACTTCTTCGCCAACTCAGTTGGCCATGATATTTTCATAAAGAAACAGAGAGAAATGGAGCCAACTTCACAACCAGTTGAATCGGAAACACGCTGGTCATGTCAATATACAGCGCTGGTGGCTATCCGCAAATCACTGCCTGCAGTAAAGGCAACATTTACAGAGATCATGTCTCAGCCCAATGCGCGGAGGAAAACGGAGGCTAGAGCGGTGAGTGGACTAATTGATGAGCTGTCCTCCACAATGGACTTGGCTGATTCGGTCATAGCGACACTGACAGACAGACGTGCAGAGGAGTCATGGAGGGAAATTCGGGACAGAGTAAGCGACCTGTGCACCAAAGCCAATGTAAATCACAATGAGACACCCGAAAGGAGACAGGCACAGCCTCCTCGACATCTACAGGAGTTTGTTGTGGAAGCCCAAATCGAACGCAGACCAGTTACATCCCTAGATGCGCTGCGGACAGAGTGTTTCTACCCAGTAAATTACAGACTTGTGGATGAAATGAGAAGACGTTTCTCAACCGAGGCCGGTGGTGTCCTATCCGGAGTCTCGGCACTTAGCCCCAAACATGCATCCTTCTTAGACAATAAATGTCTGCAACCCATGGCCAAGTTCTATGGAGTGACGGAAGAGAACCTGACCCCAGAGCTACACCAGGTTAAGCGCCTACTGGAAAGAAAGAAACAACAGGGACATGAACTGAAGGACACAGCGGAATATCTGGCTTTAATGCGACCCTACAATGATGCCTTTACGGATTTACACAGACTCATATGCATTTCCCTGACTCTGCCTGTGACCTCTGCTGGCTGCGAACGCAGCTTCTCCTGTCTCCGTTGCATCAAGAATTATCTAAGAAACAGCAGTGGTGATGCACGGAACAGCAACCTGGGCCTGCTGGCTATCAATAAGCAGAGGAGTAAGGCACTGGATGTCCAGCGTGTCATTGACATTTTCGCTTCCAACCACAACAACCAACTACCTGTGTCTGTGTGTCTCTCTCCCTCACTATCCCTCTCTCTCTCCCTCTCTCTCTCCCCCTCTCCGTGTCAATTCTATATGCCAACTTTTCTTGTTTCTGCCGCTGCGTAGCATGTTGTAACAACGTGGAATTAACAGAATAGGCTATTGTATTGTTTAACTCACACCTGTTGCTCTCGATGTAATTTAGCTGATAAAAGGAGACTAATAAAAGCTAATAAAAGCCTCACGCGTGGCGTTTCACTGTCAAGGGGTTCGATATAGCGTGTATGTAATTACATTACAAATACTGACTCGAGCCCCACCACTGAATGGGTTAGCCCTACCATAAACTACCCAACAAAAATACTCTGGCGCCGCCACTGTGTATTTCCAAGCCGACCTGAGAGTTAGCATCGCAAGGGCTCCCTTGACAAAAAGCAATGGGATTTTGCCACTGGATTCTGACATATTTTAGAAAATAAACTCTCTAGCCAAGTCATGTTTATGATACTTATCACGTTTTGTTCAGCAGGAGAATCTCCACAACATTTCTGGCAACATAGTGACGTAAATAAATGTTCTCTGTTATTACATGGATGATGTTAGCATAGCCACCAAAGCCAGTCTGACGACACTATTAAGAACCCAGAAACGTAATAATACTTGTATTAAAAATGCATTACACATTATATGAAACTTTATGTTGCGGGACATTAACTGGGTTTCCGTATGCCATATTAATTATTCACTGTAAGTGTTTTGAATGATGTACAGGTTGCTATTATCGCAACATTATTGTCTGATGTAAAGAGAGTGTTCTCCATGTATCCAGGGTGAATGTCTAGATGTTTTATCACATTAGAACAGAGCTGTATTCAAGCTGTCATGGTTATTACACATTTTCAGTTCTTCTTACCTCACCATCAATTGGAAGGAACCTTATTTGACAGCTGTTTCTTAAAGTTACTTAATCTAAAAAATGCTAATGTGCCTCTTGTTGTACTGATGGAATTAGTTATTTGGAAATAAACGTTATTCTACATTTTTGGTAAAGGATTCCACCTAAATGCTCCAGTGTGTTTTTGGAGATCTGGAAATGTTTTGGGAATCACCATGCAAGCTAGTAAAGTAAATGTATTTGTTTCAAAAGCAGTTAATGAACAGTCGATGACATAAGTACCTTTTTCAAGACTACAATTCCCTCTTGACTTTGGCCACTAGAGATGATGTCAAACATGTTGCCCTCTTCTCCTGGAACAATGGTATAATCCACCTCTGCATTGGCACCAGCATCCGGGTCGTAGGCTCGAATCCCTCCGACTGCCGAGCCCATGGACGCAGACTCTGGCACCCGCAGGTGGAAAATACCTGAGGTCATGGAAGAAGAGAGGGGAAAAGGGCAAAAATAAATTAAGGGTTGTTCAAGAAAGAACATCAAGCATCATCTAATCAGTCACAACAATCAAAGACCCTTTCATCCATCCAACAATCACCCATCAGCCTCATTGTGGAGACGGTCTTACTCTTAGCGAAGCGAGGCGGGTTGTCGTTGACGTCTCCAAGGGTAACGTTGATGGTGGTGGTGGAGGCCAGCCCCCCCAGCAGACCTCCCATGTCCTTGGCCTGGAGGAGAACCTGATACTCCCCTTTTATCTCCCGGTCCATGTTGGCCAGAGCAGTCCTGATCACTCCTGGAGGAAGAGGAGAGGTTTGAAACGGGTATTCCTTATGATAATGGACCTCCCATAGAAGGACAGACATACAGTATACTGTGGATTCTGACCTTCATTAGGACACAATGTTATGGTACTTCATACTTTAATGAAGCTCTAATTAGGCCTACATGCCCCCTGCCTCTCTGTTGGCAGCCTTTGATCAGGAATGAACTGGCATGGAGTTAAAACATCAGAAGAAGCCATTTGAAGAGTAAAAAAGAACGAAGTGATTAGGGCAAGGGCGGTTAAATATACAGATGAAGGACAGAGAACTGAAAGGGTCCTTAAAGTATTTAAAGCAAGGTGGAGTAAAGATTCCCTGCTGTGATTCAGTTGTTAGAGGGGTGACCTGTGGTGCTTTACATGTTCTAGTTTTAAACTTGATTAAATGAGGATAACTATATTATCAAGTGAAAATCCATTTGAAAGGGAAATATCCTTTAAACCCTTTTTAGCACAAAACTCATTCTTTAATTTAGGTACATCAAGGGTGCCGTGCTATGGATAATTATTTAATTAGAGAGGCACAATGCGGGACAAATAAGAAAAATACAAGGTTAGAGATTTTAACATCTTGAGGTTAGTATAAAGTCATGACGTACAACAAAAGAACATTAAGTAACTTGGTTAAAATGTTACGATATAATTAAACACTAAACAAAACACATTCTTGTTAACTGCCGCTCAAGTTAAATCACAGTCTTTGCTCCAACTCAATCACACATGATAACAAGCTCTACACAATGGGCAAAGCTCAGTGTTATAGGGGCACTTGCCCCTATTCTATACCATTTATTTGCTGATCCTGGACCATCAGAACCTCCTCTTGCTGCTGTTACAGAGGACCCAGCAGTTCTGCTGAGAGAGTCGCAAGTGTTGGAACTCGCTGAGTTTGAGTTGTTCAGTGTTTAGCGGAAGAAAGCTTGGTCAACCTCTTTGGTTGAATACTAAATGACTTAACGAGGACCAGCTGGAGGGATTATATCCCCACCCTGACCTGGGACCACCTTGGAATTCCCAAGACAGAGCTGGTTAACGTGGCCAGAGAAAGAGAAGTTTTGGAACCCCTTCCAGAACTGCTACTGTAACTCCACGCCCCTTTGCCGATAAGCGGTTGACTAGGAATATATAGATAGATGGATGGATGGATACAGGCCATTTGGCCCTCTAATCCACTCCATCATGGCCGGTCTTGGCTCAGTCAAATGAATAGAGAGGGAAAATAGCTCTGGATTCTGCTTTTAGCTACTTTTACAACTTTTAGCCTCTAATGATTTAAATGACGACTACACACGTTTGGATCCATGGTAGTTGATCTACATGTACCTAAAAGAAAACTCATACAATTATTTACCGACATGTCTTTTCCAAAAAGAGTATTATTGGGCCAAATTACGTTAAATGACTGATACGGAAGTTGTTGTACCACCATTTGGCCACTATAAAGATTTGCTTTAACTGCCGGCTCACTTCCTGGGGGCTTGCTTCCAACATGCTACCGCTCTGAGCAGAGAGGTATAGTTTGTCTCATGCCTTAGTCCTTGATGCTTTCTGGATTTAAGGAGGCAGGATGTTGACTCATGCTGCTCCTCATGGAAAATCCAACATGACACTCCATGTTCAGAAACATTTCTGATCGGTTGTCTGTTAAAGGACTAAAAATATTAACGTGCCTTTCTGAACATGTTATAGAATTCCGGTGCAGGACTCACTCTGAGAGCCCCTCTCAGTATCATGACCTGGTGAGTCTGCTTTGTTGACAAAAGGGAGTGTGAGCTGTGGGTTCACACTAAAGTCCCACATCTGTTTGATTAACTCTGGGTTCGTCATGGAAAATGTCATGTAGAAGGGCTACAACGTCTCACCTGTCTTGGGGTCCACAGAGAAGTATGGCTGGCCGTGAAGGATGCTGTACACGATGCGGGCGCTGTTACCGTACGTGGGATCATCTGCATCTGTGGCCGCCACCTGGGTCACATAGGTTCCTACAAACACACACACAGAAACACACACATGCTTATAAGTTTCCCTTTTCAACATAACCAACCAACACATCTTTGTATTGGAAATTGAGATCACAAGGTTATAATCTTGGGGAGAAAATCATTATCTTGTTTTCATCAGAAATTCAAGTTTTTTTCTATCATTAGTTCATTACAACAACGATTATTGCTTTTTAGAGATAATGAGATCCTTTTAGTAAAACCCAGAGTAAATGCCATATGTAAAGGGCTGCTGTGAGCCTCAACCTCATTTAAAACTTTAATAAAACCAAAGAAACTTGAGTGGGCTTATATGAATACTCGGGCGTACAATGGACAATAGATTGTTTTAACATTTATATTTTATTAAACATTTTCAAAGACAAAAACATACGGACAAGGACGTGGCTCACACACATCACAAATAGGACATGAAGGGTGGGGGCCGGGGGGATTACAGTGTCAGTTACATTTTATGTATGCATATGGCATTGTATTTATTCATGATTTGCTTCATAATATAGATATACTTCATAGTTTCCTCATTATTATTATAAAACAAAAACAAAAATGTATAAATAAATAGTAAAATAAATATATATATATATATATATACACATACACACACACATACACATCTCTTCCTTTTCTGATTAATTCACCTATTTCCCATTTAATTTAACTTCTTTCATTATTATTACCATTCGTTTCTTCATAGCTTATTTCTCTTTATTTATTAATATTATTATAATTAGTATATTTATTATTGGCAGCCGAGATAGTTTGGGTCCAGGAAATCCCTTATCGTATCCCAAAGCCTGTTGTCTGGCTTAACCAAATATAACAGGGAGAAAGCAGCTTCTTCCATACTTAAGATGTTTAGGAAGTCCTCCAGCCATCTATTTAAATTGAAGCAGTTGGGCTTTCTGACTTTCCAGTTCATAAGAACGAGGCGTTTAGTTGAAAGGCATGCTAGGGCTATAAGTTTACTTGCAAATGTTGATGTTATGCCATTGAGCGGGGATCCCAGCAAGCATGTACAGTTGCAAGAAAAAGTATGTGAACCCTTTGGATTCTCCACACATAGCGTTGTGTGTTCCTTCTAAACAACTCAACTTTGGTTTCATCTGTCCACAGAATATGTTGCCAGTAGTGCTGTGGAACATCCAGGTGCTCTTTTGCAAACTTCAAACGTGCAGCAATGTTTTTTCTGGACAGCAGTGGCTTCCTCCGTGGTGTCCTCCCATGAACTCCATTCTTGTTCAGTGTTTTACGTATCGTAGATTTGTCAACAGAGATGTTAGCATGTGCTAGAGATTTCTTTAAGTCTCTAGCTGACACTCTAGGATTCTTCTTCACCTCATTGAGCATCCTGCGCTGTGCTCTTGCAGTCATCTTTACAGGACGGCCACTCCTAGGGAGAGTAGCAACAGTGCTGAACTTTCTCCATTCATAGACAATGTGTCTTACCGTGGACTGATGAACATCAAGGCTTTTAGAGATACTTTTGTAACCCTTTCCAGCTTTATGCAAGTCAACAATTCTTAATCGTAGGTCTTCTGAGAGCTCTTTGGTGCGAGACATGGTTCACATCTGGCAATGCTTCTTAAGAATAGCAAATTCAAAACTGGTGTGTATTTTTTATAGGGCAGGGCAGCTTTAACCAACACCTCCAATCTCGTCTCATTGATTGGACTCCAGGTTGGCTGACTCCTGACTCCAATTAGCTCTTGAAGAAGTTTTTAGCCTAGGGCATGGGTCGGCAACAGGCGGCCCGCGGGCCATTGTTGGCCCGCCAGCAATAATATTTGGCCCGTAATTTTGAGAATCAAAAATAAAATAAAAATGTTCTCTTTTTTTTAACAACATAGGACCGAGAGTCGCACATCAGGGTTTCCGTTAGCCGGTAATCACCGGTTTTTATCTGGTAAAATACATTAAAACCCGGTAAATTCAAAACCTGCTGGTCAAAATGTCTGGTAATAATTAGGGATGCTCCGATCGATCAGCCGCCGGTCATTATCGGCCGATATTCACTCTTAATAGTTTGATCGGTGCTCTCTATAAAGGCCGATCAGGAGAGCTGGATCTGATCGATATGTACATAAACGCCAGTGAAGTGTAACCGGACCCGAGAGAGAGATCAGATCAGCTGCTGCATAATCACCTGAAGCCCCGCCCACTATTTAGCGCGCTGCATGAGAAACTGACGGGCTGTCAGGAGAGAGAGGGAGGGAGAGGGGAAAAGAGAGGATCCGTTTCTCCCGTGTTATTATCCAAAGTTAATGTAAACTTTTGAATAATGTACTTCATCTACTAAAAGTAGTTTGTTTGAATGTAATAATTATGTTGTTTGTTGTTTGTGGAATCATTTATTGAAAAATGAATCTGAATTTTTCGATCTGTAACGATTATAAACTGAAGAAATATAAAAATGAGCCCCATTAACTGAGTTTTAAACATCAGCATATCCGGTCATAGTCCGGTGATTACCTGCTAACGGAAACTTTGCTACACCATTCTTATTATTATTATTATTGAAACATGACCGATAAGTTTCAAATGTGTCCGGTAAAATAAATTCTGTCCTGACATAACCGCTTACATTCATAATGTCAGCGGAGGGAGGGGAAGTGGCGCTGTGGAAGAGCAGAGTGGCTAGGGAGAGCTGTCATCTTCCCTTTACAAGCTTCAAACATGTATTTATCGTGTGATTTTGGAAATAAAAGTTCCATATTCTGAAAGCCAAGACTTTGTTTAATTGAAATCAAACAAAACACCCGAACCCTGAAAAACTAGTTTTTTACGCAAATCCACGTTTATTTTGAAATGAGCCGTTGCGACTTTCGACTGATTTCGATAGAGCGGGTCACATATGGCAAATGTGTGGTTGTGGGGAACCAGGTCAATTAAAGTACTTATTTAACTATTAAATACATTGAGTTTGAGTAAAATACTTGGTTACTGATTAATTTAGGTTATAATATATTAAATTGCAAAGCAAAACATGCTGTAATTGATTTATTTTGTCCTTTGGTATTTTTTAAAGGTTTTCAACCTGAAAGAATCCTAATGTGTCCTTGAAAAGTTGAAATAAAGATTAAGGAAAAAGGATTTGAGTAGTCCATGTGTCCTCTGTCGCCCCTCAAGCCTCTCAAATGTGGGCAAACACTCATATAAATGCCAAAAACCCAGAGAACTTGACAATACTTATCAGAATAAAAGTATGTTAAATAACACTGCTACCTAGTTAATAACTTTACTCAGTGGAGGCTCGTCCATTGAGGAAAGGGAGGACCATCCTCCCTACAATTTCAGAGAAAAATTTACTTTGAAGAGAACAATAAATACACCTCAATTTAAAAAGATACGTCTGTTAAAATACAGATAATAGCCCTGGCTTTGGGACTGAAATGGGGCTAGAGAGGACGAGCCTCCCTTTGGGCGGGTCTAGCCAGAGGCTCTGGATTGGGCACCTATATCATCAGTGAACCAATCAGCGGATCTGACTGCGCATCAGAGTGTTGATGGGGAGGGTTATCAGCAATATCAGAGCCGGGGAACAGGGGTGATGTGCGATCTTACCAAAATCAATTCCTTGAATTAGGCTTTGATTATGTTCTGGCCCGCCATCTTGTGGCTCAGCAAAAAGTTGGCCCACGGCCAAATTGACTTGCCTACCCCTGGCCTAGGGGTTCACATACTTTTTCCACCCTGCACTGTGAATGTTTACATGGTGTGTTCAATAAAAACATGAAAACATATAATTGTTTGTGTGGTATTAGTTTAAGCAGACTGTGTTTGTCTATTGTTGTGACTTAGATGAAGATCAGAACACATTTTATGACCAACTTATGCAGAAATCCAGGTAATTCCAAAGGGTTCACATACTTTATCTTGCAACTGTAGCTGGAGTTAAGAGTATCTCTATGTTCAGGATCTCAGCGAGAGTATCTCCAACTACGTCCCATAGAGATTGTACAGCCGGACAGACAGGACCAAAGAAATTGTAAAAGGGTACCCACTTCCGCACAACCATGCCAGCATAGGCCCGAGAGTGTTTGATCCATCTTTTTGAGTCTAGAGGGTGTGATGTATGCTCTGTGAAGGATTTTGAACTGTATTACCCTAAACCGGACACACTTGGAGATTGATGTTGAGTTCGACCAGATTCTGTCCCACTCAACTGGGGTAAGGGTGATGCCTAAGTCCTGCTCCCATCTTTTCTGTGACTGCAGATTAGTATTGGCGGATGAGGTGAGGAGAAGTTTATATATACCTGAAATCATTCCTTTCTTGTTTGCAAGTCTTTTTAGGTTCATATCAAGGTGTTCATGACAACCTATCTTTATACCTTTTGATGTTAACTTTTTAATATTTGATTGTAATTGCATATAGGAGAGTAAGAGGGATTTATTCAGATTAAAATGTTCCATCAACACTGTGAACGGAGTTATGATATTGTTTTTTTACTATTTGTCCAATGTGTTGTATGTCATGTGCTTGCATATGTATATTATTCAATGGGTTACCGCCCGCTGTGAATATTGGGTTTTTCCATAATGGGCATGAAGGGAGGGAAACACCAGTGATGCCTAGCCTCCTTTCTACAGATTTAACCACACTGATAGAACATTGAATTAATGGATTATTCAGACTGGATTTGGGGGAGTACCATCATTAATTTAAAGATATTGATTTATTGTTTTCTGTAATTATGTGTCCTTCCAGCCAATCCCAATGGACAATAGATTAACAGGGTTAGGGTTATATATAAACTGTATGTACACAGTTGAGCTGAAAGCACTAATTTAATCATAATGTTGAATTATAAAAAATAATCAATGAATTAACCTGTTAAGCCCGAAGGTCCCCGCCGGCGGGGACCCTGGGTCTTTTTTGCACGATACTGTGTCTCAGGGGATCTTAATATTTAAGAACCTATTAATGTGTTATACCAGATTAACGGAAATAATCTCAGCTAACTGCCGATACAAATCA